TATATAAACCATTAAAAAAAGAAAAGGAAAAAAAGCAAAAGGAAAGCATAGCCAAGAAGACAGTAGCACAACTCAAGAACATGGAAACATTCTTTCCCATGTTTCCCTCCCCAACTGAGGCAAGCTGCAGGACACTTGTTTGTACTGTAATCAAACACAAAACAAATATTAACGAGGGATCCCTGATGCATGGGGACGTAGGGCCCTTGCATTTGATGCAAGATGTAGCCAGGGCAAACTGCAGTATAGGTTATAAGGGGGGTGTGATATCAATGTTTTTCAGGTACAGTGTATTAGGGTAATCGGGATTGTAGGGGCATGGTAGGGTATTGTTATTGTAGTGGTATGTTACCATGGTTAAATGTCATTCATTTTCTTGGTGGCGCTTTAGAGCCCTCTCTATACGCCCATGAATTGCAGACGAGGCTGATGTGAGTGAAAAAGATTATGAACGTACAAACATGCTAAGTATTTTGTGAGTTTTTGCTTAAATCTAAAAGGGCAAAACATACTTTCATGAGTTTTTAGCCATGGTAAGACCCTCAAAACAGTGGCAAAAAAAAAACAACTCATATTACATCCAACATGGCTGGCTTTCTTTTGGGTGAAGTCAGATAAAACCAAGTGATTCAGTTGACTCGCTCATAAAGACTTCTTATTTCTTTCCTGAATGAATCAACATTTCCACCTTCTGGCGTTACGTTGTGATTGGTACAATCTTTATTTGAAGTGTGAAGTCACTTTCAAAAAGGTTATTTACTCGATTTTGCTACTGTAGATAAGTGTTTATCCGAACTATAAACTTTTATCCAAGTTCTTCTGTGATGTATTTGAATGTTTGTAAAAAGACTTTGTGAAGATGTTTCAAATACATTAACTGCTCTCTCTGGGACAGCAGCAGCAAAAACACAGATTTAAATGTTACAGTGTGAACGAATACTGTCAAAGGTTAAATAGACATAGCTGCATCCTTGTCAATTTGGAACAAGATTGCTTGGGTGATTGAATCTGTTCACGATCTGGCTATTTAAATATCCAAAACAAAAAAACAGCTGTTTAGTGGAATGAACCCATAAGGTAAGCGGTAATCTACCACAGCCAGCAGTGCAGACTGCTTTCATCATGGGCAGATGAACTTCTAGTACTTGGAGAACAAATTAAAATGTATAAAACATTTATTTGTAAAGTGAATGGTCTTATCTTTAAAAACATCAGGGACTTTTGGCAAAAAATTAGGGGCTTAAGTTCCCAGAGTCCCCCTTGCAATGCCATGGGCTCAGACCACCTACTGCAGTTGTCTCAGGTTTAATACGGTGATCCGCTCCATTTGACAGCTGTCACATTGCAATGTTTTCATATGAGCCATTCTCCGTTTCATACTGGTACTGTATTTTTATTTATTTTTTATTTCATCTTCTGTTTAGGAGACGAGGAGATGGTGTCGATGGAATCCTCACAGGGAATTCAAATGAATACACCTTCAGATGAGCTCTCAGAATTGGGCAAGTGCCTTCTCCAGAGTGAGGTAAACATTTCTTTGTACTCTCCATCAGTTGGCTTCTATACTGGGGCTCTGAACGGAGTAAAATGTTTTTCACCCTCTTTTTTTTTAGGATATATATATGACTCTCCTGACTATATGTTTTAACTCCCTTTCCTGGAAAGACACTATAAACTGTCAACGGTGTGCTAGTGTGCTTTGCTGGACTTTGCTAAAACAGGTACTGATTTTTCTATCTCTCCCTCTTAGTGAAATTTTTTATCTAGAACAGACAATTCACCAAAATATTTCTGTTAGTTTGCAGTTATCAATTAGAATTGCATTCTAAACATTTTTTAACTTTTTTAACAGTTTTTTAACTTTTGAATCCTTTGCCTTATGAAAATACTGCGTGTCTATATGTGAATTAATTAATTTGCAGGTGCTTGGCTGTAACCTTCTCCCGGATGCTGTGACATGGCTCTACACCAGTGTACTGAAGGGTCTGCAGATGCATGGACAACATGAAGGCTGCAATGCTGCGCTAACTCAGCTGGCCTTGCTCATCTACGAGTCTCTAGTGCGTCATGCCAGCTCAGCTGTGATAACTTGAATGTGTCTGGGAAGCACATATGTCATTTGGCAGTCGCAAAAAGATAAACTTCATTTTTGTCCTCTTACTGGCTATGATAAACAAAATATAAATGAAAATATACAGCTCTGGAAACATTTAAGAGACTACTCCAAATTTTTATTAAATCAGCATCTCTGTGTATGGCAGCCATTCCAGTGTCTGTTGAATTCCAACACAGGCACACCTCATTCTGCTTAATGAAGTACTGATTAGCCGATCACCTCAACCAAATCTTATTTAACGAGGAAATGTATAAAAATCACTGCTGTGGTGATCGCTATCCTCTAGCAAGAGGACCATCTGGATGGCAAAAACAGTGCTAGTAGTACCTCAAAAATAAAAATGGAAACAAATAATAACTACTGGCCATGCCAAAAAACTTTAAAAGAAATGTTTTGAGTGGGGAAAAGAAGTGCTTTCTTTGCATTATTTGAGGTCTGAAAACACTACATATTTTTTGTCATTTCGACCAGTTGTCATTTTCTGCAAATGAATGCTCTAAATGACACATGTGTTTGTCAGTAGTTGTCAGTACAGATAAAAATGTTTTCAGTAGATTATATATTAAAACAAACATGTTCATTTTACTCAAACACATACCTATAAATGGTAAAAACAGAGAAACTGCTAATTTTGCAGTGGTCTCTTAATTTTTTCCAGAGCTGTGTATAAAGCCTTTGCGTATTTGTTGTTTGATAAACACCATAGCAAATACAAAAATTCAAGTGGCTGTTTGAAAACATGTAAACACTGTTTGACAACTCTGTGACAAGTGGGTGTCAGAAACACAAAGATGTCCAAAGCAGCTTTGTTTACAGAGCCAACAGGGGTAAGCGCTGCATTTTTGCTCTTCCATAAGCACCACCTACTTGTCAGAGAGTGAATTTAGATTCTCATTCAACCTGTTTGCCTTTTTTGGTCACACCAACATGTAAATTGGACCCAATTTTTACACAGCTTACTGTTTTATAATTTCACCCTTTGATGAAAAAGAAGCTCTGTGCGTTTCAAAACTCTAGACAATACGGTTTCAAGAATTATTTGCAGTCTTTTGAAGTGCTCACGATAACGATACTGTACATGTTTATTACTGCAATATATCATGTTACTAAGTACCAGCAGATGTCTATTCCTATGTAGTTGCAAAGTCCTATGTATCTTTTCTTACTGCAGATGCTTTAAGGATGATTTAATTGAACTGTATTTGGGGTTTATAATTCCTGTTTAGAAGGGATGTGTTTAGACTGTTCAATACAGAACTTGTTTAATGTCAAATAATTTTTAAGGCTACACCCGTGATTTAATCACAATTTTTAAATTTAGTTTACTGTCACTGGCCTCCCATGGTTCCTTATCTTGGCTGCAATTTGTAGCCAGTAACAATGTCCATCAGCAAAGGTGTTTTCAGTAGCTTGGTGTTAATTTAAAAAGTTTTTCACAATAAGAAATAAATTGTTTTTGTGAAGTCATCTTAAAAGTGTATATTCACACAAAATATGAAGACTGTATCATAGGTTTTTTTTTATAAAAAAAAATGTAATTGCATGTGGTGCAGGTCACCCCTTTTAATGTATTTTGTCGTGTTGAAAGGATGTTTCGACACTTGAAATGTTGCTCTCTATAACTCACTAGTGTCTGTAATTTACGTAAGTCAGAGATGATCTTGCTGATCCTCATAGATGGCAACACCATTGTGGTATGTTTTACTTTTAGTACACAAAGAACAGTGATGTTAACACTAGCTAAAGTACTACTGAATGCACCTTTAAATGATTATGGTAGTGACTTAACGCGTTGGTGAGAAAATGTTATTAACAAAGATTTAGTAGTTTTTCATTCTGATGTTTCTGTACAGAGGCCTCGATACAGTGAGCTGCGTTTCATCATGAATCAGATCCCTGATATCCATGTTGAGGCCCTGGAGCAGTTTGATCAGAAGACCATACAATCCACTGTATCAAAGGCAGGAGAGAAGAAAAAGAGGGAGCAGTTTAAAAGGCTCATTGCAGGCACTGTTGGGGTATGGACACTTTTCTTTACTTTCTTTACATTGTCACCTGTGCTCATCACATTGCACGTGATCCAGTTATTTTCCATTTTTGATAATATTGTTTGACATTGTTAGTGTCTTTTTTCCTTAGTTCTGTAATGCCCGCTTCAGACTACACGATTTTAGCCCGATTTTGCCACGATTTGCTTGACGTAGGGTGTCGTGGGGATTCGTAAACGACAATGGGCGTCGGGACGCAAGATTCCATCATTTCAGCTCGTGTAGTGTGTCATAGTGGACGACAATCGATTCCGTGTCTGCAATGCATCACGACAGAAAGACTAGCATGTTTAATTTTTTTTCCGTCGTCCACGACGAGTTCTGACACATTGGTGACATTGACCAATAGCAGCACAGAAGCTCTTTCATACACAGGTTTCAAACATGGTGAAACTAAATAATTATGAGATGGAGGAAAGGTTCGTGGAGCTGTGGCAACAGTACTCCTGCCTGTATGATGTGTCATCGAGGGACTACCACGACAGAACAAAGAAAGAAAAATGCTGGCGAACTATAGCGGAAGCTCTTCAGCAATGTTTACACTCTTGTTTTCGGAAGTCAGTCTCTAGTTCCGCCTTCTCGATGACATCACGTTAAAGACGGCACGCGATGAATGGTCGGGAAGTAACGTGTAGTCTGGCATGTTTCTTGTCCACGACACAACAAGATTTTAGGAGTCAAAATCTTGTAATCTGGCACAGTGACTATCGTGACCGACAAAAATATCGTGTAGTCTGAACCTTGCATAAGGTCAAGTCTAGTACTTGTATTCTGTCCTTGCTGCAAGTAGGTTGCAGCTCGACAGATAGTTAAACAGCATGAGGACTGAAGAAAATGTCGAAACTGAAGGAGTTCTTTTCCAGTGTTTTACTTGAAATCTTCAGTTGCACAACATTGTTTTTTTGTGAAACTATAATGCAAACACAAAACATACATTAAGTATAAAGTATGAGTAAAAGTAATTTTTAAGAAAGGAAATACAATCTAGCGTTAATATGTGAGCGAGAACAACAATCTTCTTATTTTAACAGATGAAATTCAATAAACAATTAAACTTACAGACGATGGCCTCTGGCATGAAATAACAAGAATATAGCTTTTATCAGGGAGAAATCTACTGCTGCATCACTGCTGTTGTGAAGTGAAATCTAAGATGGCTGCCATGACCTCTAACCTAAGTCACATGATGCGTCTCAACCAATAAAATAAACTCAAAATTAAATGACTATACAAACAGTCAGAACACTCCCCGCCTGGTATTTTAGAAATACCACTATTACCAGTACAACAGTTCTTTAGAACATCAGTCCTTCTGTTCTCCAGGTGACAGAAGAAAAATCACTTGGGACACAGGCCTCAGATACGTTCTACAATTCCCATCCTTTGTAACCTTGATTTCAATTTTCCTGACCTTATCATCACTGCCTGGGAATACCTTAGTGACAAGAGCTATTGGCCAGTCATTTCTCTTGACTTGAGGTTCCTTCATTAGAACTATATCTCCTTCCTTGATGTTAGGCCGGTTGGTATGCCATTTGCGGCGACTCTGTAGACTGACCAAGTACTCACGTGTCCACCTTTCCCAGAAGGTGTCAGCAAGTTGTTGAACTTGTTTCCATTTCTGGCGGCAAAGTTCCTTTTCAAAGTCCCCTGGAGGAGGAGAGAGCACACCAACCTTTTGAGTCAAAAGGGTGGCTGGAGTCAACAGATCGGGTGAGTTTGGGTCAGTCGAGATAGGTGCAAGAGGTCTTGCATTCATAATTGCAGAAACTTCTGCCAAGAATGTAGCTAACATATCGTGAGTGAGATAAGAGTGACTGTTTTGAAGCAGCATGGAGTCTAATATGCGACGTGCAACTCCGATTAGATGCTCCCAGGCACCTCCCATATGGGATGCATGAGGAGGATTAAAGATCCAACAACATCCTTCCTCACTCAAGTAGTTCCTGAAGTTAGGCTCCTCTGAAAGCATTCCCAGCTCCTTACAAGCGCCCTTAAAATTTGTGCCACAGTCTGATCTGATTTGCTTCACTGGACCCCTTATGGCAAAAAAGCGTCAGAGGGCGTTGATAAAGGTGGAGGCATCAAGAGAATCGATTAACTCAAAGTGCACTGCTCGAATACTCAAACAGGTAAAAATGAGTACCCATCTTTTGCTGTTTGCCAGTCCCCCTCGTGTGCGTCGAGAAGCAACCATCCAGGGCCCAAAGACGTCAAGGCCGACATAAGTGAACGGTGGATCCGTGGCAAGTCGATCCGAAGGAAGATCTGCCATCTTCTGTTCCACAGGTCTTCCTCTAAGTTTCTGACAGATGATGCATTTATGAATCACACTATGGATGCGTTTCTTTGCCCCAATGATCCAGAATCCTGCATTCCTTATATCCAGTGTTTTACTTGAAATCTTCAGTTGCACAACATAATTTTTTGTGAAACTATAATGCAAACACAAAACATAAATTAAGTATAAAGTATGACTAAAAGTAATTTTTAGGAAAGAAAACCGCAAATCTAGCATTAATACAAGAAAGAAAACAACAACCTTATTCGAATGCACCACAAATGTTTCTTTTTAAATGGCATAAAATACTTATTTTTTAACAGATGAAATTCAGTAAACAATTCAACTTAGACGATAAACAGAAATATAGCTTTTATCAGGGAGACATCTGCTGCTGCATCACTGCTGTTGTGAAATTAAATCTAAGATGGCGGCCATGACCTCTCACTTAAATCACATGATGCATCTTAACCAATAAAATAAACCCAAACTTAAATTACTATTTAAACAGTCAGAACAACTTGTATTATGGGATACAGAATTCCATGCAGACCTTATGATTAATTCAAAAACGCAGAATCATTCAGTAATGAATGATTACTGAGAAAGACACAGAGGAGAAAGGCACACTATTTCCCCATTTAATACTGTAAAGCTGCTTTGACACAATTTGCATTGTAAAAAGTGCTATATAAATAATGGTAACTTTACTTGACTAATAAAACACCGTTGTGTGTTGCACAGAGATGCGCAACTGTTCTGCTGTGATCTTTGGTTTGACAATATTTTTGTTAACGAAATCGAACAAAAACAGTCAACATTGACAGTGTTGTACTAAAATGTAGAGCTGGGCAACGATTAATCGCATCCAAAATAAAAGTTTTTGTGTACATAATGTATGTGTGTGTACTGTGTATATTATGTATATATAAAGACACACACATACAGTATATATTTTGAAAATATTTACGTGTATCAGAATCAGAATGAGCTTTATTGCCAGGTATGTTTACACATACGAGGAATTTGTTTTCGTGACAGAAGCTTCCACAGTGTAACAGAATGACAGTGACAGAACAAAAAACACAGATAATAAAAAATAGAACAAGTAAATAAGGAATAAAAATATATAAATTGACAGTTGTATGTGCAGGTATATTACAATAGACAGTTTTTGTATGTACAGGTACTGTATATTATGTGCAAATTTGAGGTGTAGACTGAGTATGAGTGTTAGATAAATAAGTGTATGAGTGA